AGACGAGGAGTGAGAAGAGAAAGGGGGCGAGAACAGACAGTGAGAGACAGAGAGGGGAGAGGGGTTGGGGTGGTTCTCGGGGGACAGCCCTGAGCAACAGCATTGTAGGCATTTGACAGAAAGGGCCTAGTTGTCCCAGCTATTCTTGGAGAGGGCCTGAGGGGTCACACATGAGCACAGCTTACAGGTGGTACAAGTGTTGAGAGAGGTGGCCATTCCCCTGATAGCCATAATCTTACAGTTTGTTGTTGTTGTTTAAGTTGGGGTCTCAGTATGTTGCCCAGGCTGGAGTGCGGTGGTGCCAACATAGCTCATTGTAGCTTTGAACACCCAGGCTCAAGTGATTCTCCCACCTCCACCTCCCAGGTAGCTGGGACTACAGGTGAACACCAACCACACTTGGCTAATTTTTGTATTGTTTTGTAGAGACAGGCTTCTGCTGTGTTGCCCAGGCTGGTCTCAAACTCCTGGCCTTAAGCGATCCTCCTGCCTCAGCCTCCTAAACTGTTGAGATGACAGGTGTGAGCCACCACACCCAGCCATCTTACCGTTTTAAAGCAGGTGAAACTGGCAGAGCTGGAGGTGGCTGGGAAAGGCGGCTGTGCCAGGCCTAGTGGAGCCTGGGGCTCCACTTATCTCATTCAGAACTGAAGACCTGAGCTGTGACGGCACAGGGGCCCTCAGCATCTGGGCCATTAGCAAAGGGACTGGCAGTTGCACAGGCCAGAAAGGAGCCCACCTGTAGGAAAAAGATAAGTCTGATGGGCCAATCTCAGTTTCTCCAGCTAGAAAATGAGGGCATGGGACCAGAAGATCATACCCACAGGTACTAACATTAACTTCCTGCTATGTGTCACATTCCTTTCTTGGGCCTTCTGGGAACCCATCCTGAGCTGGCTGGACTCACCATTCCAACCTCAGCCCGTGCTACTCTCCCCACACCCTCCCGCCATCTTTCAACCTCACCAGGCTCAAGTACACCAAGCCTGTTCCTGCCTCAGGGCCTTTGTACGTGCTGTTCCCTCTGCAGAATGTCTTCCTGTGGTCTTTGCCTAACTGGCTCCTTGCCATCCACCTCTTCAGAGAAGCCTTCCATCATCACCCTGCCTCAAGTAGCTTCCCAGTCACTTGCCTTTACATTACCCAGTTATGTTCTTTGCCACTCCATTCCCCTTCCAGCATGGGTGCTCCGTTAAATCAGGAACCTTGTTCCTTCTGGTCTCTGTGGTGTCCCATCCCTACCCCCATGTGAGTGCCTGGCACATATAGACACTTGATACCTGCTTGCTGAATAAATGAATAAGCGCAACTTGGTAAGTTGGTGCTTCATTTGTGTTATTTCAAGTAGGTGTCATAAATATTTGCTTTTGTTAGGTATTGAGGGAGATGTTATCATCAGGGTCCTACACAAGAGGAAACTGAGGCTCCCAGAGGTGAGGTCACACAGCTGGGACCTGGACTCAAGGCTCTGCCTCCAAAGCCCTCTCCCCCAGGGTACCCCACCTTTTGTCGAGCAAAGAGGAGACACCAGCCACCAGGAGCTGGGGATAATCTTTGTGCTTTAGAGATGAGGAGGTGATGGCTGTGGGTGAAGTTGCTCAGCACTGCCACCCTCAGTCCTGTGGTGGTAATGCCTCTAGGCTCGTTCGTGGGGCACACTGCCTGCAACTGTGATTCTCAAGAGACCCAGGGCAGGGCTGGGAGCAAGTGGCGGCTGTGTGGTTCACGCACCACCTGAAGCAGCTGGCTCCTAGAGGTGCCCAGTCAGAACAACACACAGGGATTTCCGGAGAGAGTGCTGTCCTTCAAATCATTCAGGCTCATTTCCCAGACAGGCCCAGCACAATGCCACAGATTTCCCCAGTGGCATAGTGTGCTGCGAAGCCTCCTACCCACAGGACAGGTGCCCCTTGCCTCTGTGGGTAACAGAGAAGTGCCTCATGTGCCCGAAGACTGCAGAAGTCTGCTTCATTGGCCACCTGTCTGTCGGCAGTGGTCTACACCTCTTCAAACCCCTGAGCTGAGGTTTATTGTGGTCAAGGGGCAAGATCATGGCTATTAGAGCCACCTTGATCTGGATTGAAGTCCCAGCTATGCAACTTACTGGCTGAGTGATGCTGGACCTATCACATAACTCTCCAAGCCTCAGTTTCCCTGTCTGTAAAAGGGAGATACTTATTAAAGTGCTTGGTCCAGAATTAAGTCAACAAGTGGCATATCTGCCATCTGGCATATCAGCCCCTTGCCATCTGGCCACAGTTTCACCTCTGGCCACTCCTGCCCAGTTCCTCTGCCATGCTTTGCACATGCTGTTCTCTGCCTAGATGCTCACCCTGCCTTGCCTGCTGGGCCAAGGTCTCTTCCTTCTACATGGCAGGCACCTCCTCCAGGAAGCCTTCCCAGACACCCTCAGAGCGTTGGTCTATCCTGGGTTCTCTGAGCCTCCATACTGTTAGAGTGATGAGGTCTGTAATGGTCAGTGTGTGTGGACCAGGGTTGTGTCGTTTTCGTCCCAATGTCCCCAGCACAGGACTCAGCAGGAGGAATATCAGTTGAATACATAGATGAAAGAAGCACTGGAAAATAGAAATGAATTAATGAGTAGAGAAAGGAATGAAGAAAGCATGGAGGAAGGAAAAAGACAAAATGAAGGAAAAGGAGAAGAAAGCAAGGGAGTGGGAGAAAACAGAAGGTAAAAAGAAAAGAAATGAGAGAGAAAAGGCAAAGAAGGAAGTGGGCCCTCCTAGGGTCCCTCCCGCCATGCTGATGTCTCAAGTCCCAGCTATGCAACTTACTTACCCCCCTGTCCTGCCTGCTTCTGTCTGCCTGTCACTCCACAGAGGTCCTCAGTTGCCTCCGGCTCCCACAAAATATTCATTGTTCTCTTGCCTGCTCCACTCCGCCTCTCCCTGCTTGTTAGGTGCCAAAATGGTGGAATGATCAGAGGTAAAGCACGTCTGTCACCAGGCATGGTGGGGCTGATTCATCGAAAGACGCTCCTCTCCCCCAGGCTCTGCTGCAAAGGCTGAGTCAGCCCTGGCTGCTTCTCTCCTAAGGTCACAGCTATGTCTTCCCCAGAGGGTCCAGGAAATGTAGCACAGGCTTTGAAAAGGGCACAGCCCCTGGAGCTAGAGAATTTCTTTTTGAGCAATTGGGATCAGAGAATCCTTGGCTTGAATGTGGTGGGGCAGACTCTAAGGATGCTGGAAGGGGCTGGGACGTGGTTCAGCCTGTGCTGGAGCTAGGGGAGCCCCAGTTCCACTTGGCGTTCTGGAACAACCTCGTGGGCAATTCCTTGAGCATGATCCAGGAAGGCTGGTATCTGGGGATGGACTTGGGCTGGTAGGGGAGTGGGTAGCCTTTCCAGATGGGACTGGAGACAGGGCTGAGAGAGCACGGGGGAGTCAACACTCTGCAGGCCGAGAGGCAGAGGCCAAGATTCAGAAAGGCTGCCAGAGCCCAGCCAGCTCCAGTCTGCGATGACAGCCACTGAGAGCCCAGCCAATAGCTACTTTATCTGTGCACCTACTATGTGCCAGATCTCCACCATGTACTCAGGGCTCCTGGGACCTTGTTTCATTCCATCCTCACAGCAGCCTTCTGGCATAGGTGTCATTGTCATCTCCATGTGAGGAAACCACAGCTTGGAGAGGTCGGAAATCCTTAAGCCCATGGCTGTAGAATGTCAGAGTCCCAATCTGAACCAAGAACAGCCAAGCCCTGTTGCCTTCCTGTCCAGCTACCCTTTAGAAACGACTTACTAATTTTTCTAGAATGTAATAATACACGCTAGCTGTAGAAATGTAGAGAAGTAGAGTTCAAAAAAGAAAATGGACTTTACCCCAAACCCAGCGTTGTTTCCTCTATGCCCTTAAAAAAAAACCACAGCAGGCACCATGTGGCTTCTTGTTATTCCTACTTAACATTAGAGCAGAAGCATTGTCCTAGGAGAATACAATTTTTGGCAAGTATAATTTTTACTGGCTGTCATAGTATTCTGGTTGGGAATATGCGCCCTAATTTCCTTAGCCATTCCCCTATACCTGGACGTTTGGATGGACTCCAAAGTTTCACTGTTATAAACAAGACTGCTATGTGTTTCTTTGTGTTCAGGCTTTTTCTATGTTTCAGGCTTTTTCTATGTTCCAGATTACTGGAAGGGGAACGATTGGGTTAAAGGCAGGGTTGCTTTGGGGAGTGGGTGGATTGGAAGAGGACCAAGGAATCCTGGCAGTCACCCCCAAGAAAGGTGCTTTTTTTTTCTAAGAGAGACCAGCTCATTGAGGGAGGCTGCCTTCCTTTGGACTAACTGGCCTAAGTTAGACTAACATCAGAACTTTTGATGATACCTTTTTGACCTTCTGACTGTTTCTTTACCCTCTTATAAGCACTGTGGGTGTGTGTTGAGGGGCCCTTCATACATTCACCTTGCTACTGGGTTCCTGGAGGCAGCCGCGGATTCAGAGAACTTGGGGATAATCTTATTCAACCCTCCTCATATGCACACAGGTGTACCATTTGATAGGTGCAGTGACTGAGTCCCAGTAAGGACAGGTAAGTTGTTTAATCTGCCTGAGAGTAACTTTGCTGAGAGCAGATGGAGGCTCCCTGACTCCATGGCTCCCTCCACTGTGTTAGCTGCCTTGCATTTTTTTTGATTCCAGATCATATAATTCTGTCCCCAAGCATAATGAAGAACAATTGCTGGTATCATGGTTGCCATGGCAACACTGGCTCCAAATTTCCTGCTAGAGGTGCCGGGAGTGAGGGCTTGGACTATGAGGGTCCTGAGGCTGGGATGGGGGTGCTGACTGGAATGGGGCTGGAGTCCACTAAGCTCATGCCAGTGCAGTGACATCACCCTGATGCCCTCAAGGAAGCCTCAGGGCTGAGCCCAGAGCATGGACTGTCACCAACAGTGCTCCAATTTGGTGCTGATGTTCCCTGTGCAAAGAGAAGCAGGATCCATGTTTCACTTTTTTTTTTTTTTTTTTTTTAAGACTGGAAGATGAGAAGCACGGCTGAGTCCCGGAGCAGACTGAGCCACCTAAGAGGGGAGGAACCACTGCAGAGAAACCGTGTCAAGCCTTTTGGAAGTTCCAGGGGGAGAACAAGAGAGTGGAGGCTCCTGGTGGCTGGTGACAGGTGCTGATTTGTTCTGGGGAAACAGCACAGAAAAGTGACTGGAGAGGCGGCTGGGCCAGAATGGGATGCAGGCAATGGAAAGGACTCTCAAGACACAGTCCTGGGCTCGCAGGCAGGACTAACCCTCAAACCTGTCCCCCCAGGAGCCTGCAGAGCCTCTGCCCTGACAGGGGATACTTCACCTCCTCTCCTTGCAGCTGCTCTTGGCTGGGAGAGCAGAGAACAGGGGACAGGAGAGAAGACCCCAGAGTACTGAAGCTGAGGCTGGGGCAGTCTTCACTTGCCTCTTTCCTCGGCCTTTTTCCTGTTCTCTTGTCTTTTCTCTCTTTCTCTACTTCCCTTCTCCCTAGCCCAGTCTCTCACCTTTCTTCATCCTCTGGGCCTTTTCTTCTTCCTCTCTTGCCATGATTCTTCCTTCTCTGTTCCTCTTGTCTTCTCTTTTACTTCCTCTCTTCTTCCCTCCTTCCTGCAGCTATGCCCTCTTCCCTCCTTTTTCCTGTCCCCAACCAGGGCATTAGAAATGCATCCCAGTCAGCCTGATCTGATCACTGCATATTGTATGCATGAATCAAAATATCACATGTACCCCAGAAATATGTAAATTACTGCATATCAATAAAAAGAAATCTAGCTTCTTTGCCTCACGTAAAGAAAAGCCAATCTCAAGTATAAATAAACAAGCAAATAAAACAAACCACACTGGCCCCCCCCTGCCTCCCTGCCATCATCTGGGCCTGCCACCATTTGCTCAGGGTATCTAAACATCAACCAAAATCAAAGAAACAGTTTTAAAAATCTATTGTTGAAAATTTCCAAAATTAAGTAGACGTGCCTGTACAATAGCATTTCCCAAACTGTGACTTAATAAACTCCAGGCCTTTAAGTTGGGAGAGGTGGTTCCATGATACAGTTAAAAGCGCAGACTCAAGCCCATCTGCCTGGGTTTAAATCCTTGCTCTGCAGCACGATAGTTATGTGACATCGGGCAAGGGCTTAAGTCCTTCCGTACCTCAGTTTCCCTCTCTGCAAATGGTAATAATAAAAATAATACCACATGCTTCATAAGTTGTGGTGAAGATTAAATGCCTTAAAATGGAAAGATCTTAGGACAGTGCCTGGCACTTAATAAGTGCTCTATAAGTGTTAGTGATTCCTAGAAGTATTGCACGAAAGGAAGTTTGAAAAACGCTGAATACTTCTTGGCTGCCATCTTGGAAATAACATGATAGCACATTAGAGGGTCGGGAAGTCCTACAGCAAAAAGACCTGTATGACTCTGTTTACCTTAGTAATCCTCAAACTTTTTTTTTTACTATAGTACTCCCAATCTCTTCTTTTATGCACAAAATCTGTCTCTGAGGACACTCTCACTTTTTGAGTGGATCACAGTTTGAGAACTGCTGATTTGGGATTATTCACTGGAGACCATGTTGAGTGAGGTAGAGCGAGAAAGCATTATCTGAGTCATCAGGAAGACATAGGGTCAAATGCCAGCTTTACCCTCCCCAGCCACAGGGCCCAGGAAGTGTGTGGGCAGGCCCCGAGAGGAGAAAAGGCTTGCCCAAGGCCACACAACCAGTTAGGGTGAGATTCAATATTATTACACTGGATTTCCAAGCCTAGACCTTTCCATCTCCCTCCTCTTCCTCATTATCAAATCAAGGCAGGAGGTCTTTGTGTTGTTGCTGCTGGGGGACGGTCCCTCCTCATCTGCTCCCTCCCTGGTTGACTTTTCATGCCTTTCAGGACCTGGGCTGCAGTGCTCACCCCAAAGCACATGCTTTTCTCCCAATCAGAGAGAGGGAGGAGGCGAGATATCTTCAGTTTCCCACCCACCAAAAAAAAAAAAAAAAAAAAAAAAAAAAAAAAAAAGAGAGAGCTAAGGTATTTTTTAAAAAACAGCTCCCCACATAAGCAGAGTGACTGAGCCTAATACTTTTGAGAGATGACTTGTGTGCCCTGTCCCTGGTGCTGAAACCTGGATGGGCACCTGGGCAGTGGTCTCCAACCCTGGCACGGGCTAGAAGGGCTGCTGCAGAATCTCCTGTGGGAGTGGAGAGGGGGTTCCACTTAATTCTGTGATTTCAAGGTCTTGCATCTCACCTGTTGGATCAGAATCCCCTGGAGTGGGCACCTGCCTTCCATATGTTTGAAAATCTCCTGGGGGGCAGTGCTTTGGGACCACACTACCTTGGGGAGCATTTATGTAACCCAACCCTGGTCCACCTGTCTCATGGATCATTGTTTGTCAGTGATATTATTTTCTGATTTTCTGAAAAAAATTGTAATTTTGATACTCTTGCAGGAAAGAAAACTCCATGCTATATTTTTCCTACTAATGGAGCAGATTTTATGGCCTGTTGACAGTTCTATTATTTTTATGGCAGTAGCAGTTTTTTCCTACTCTGGGGACTTTAGGATGCATATTCCTAGTGAATCCATATTTGTGGTCCTCTGGAGTCCACAGGAGCTAAATGAGGCTATTCTCACTCCATTCCTTCTTTTGGCCTGCAGGCCTTGTGGTTTACAGGGCTAGAATGGTCTTAATTATGTTCGCGTGTTCTGTCTCCATGTTGCACTGCTCCAGGCAGAGATGAGAAGCTTCTGTTGTGGTATTTGTTCTTTCAGGCACTTCTCTTTCCCCCTGAGATCCTCAGGAAAATCCTCCTTGATGGAGAAAGAGTTACATTGAGCGTCCTGCCAAGAAAGATGCTGGAGAGATGGGGCCAGAGACCTTCATTAGCCTGTGATGAGGCCCCTGGGCTCTAATACTGGGGAGGAGGGTGGATTCTACCGTTGCATCCTGTCTCATCCTCTTATCTGATGTCCCAGATGCTACAGCAGGTAACTCTGAGGCCACAAGGAAGTATACAGTCGTGGTTACAAGCACAAGATTTGAAACCGGACCTGGGTTCAAATCCTGGCTCTGCTTTTTGCTAGCCATCTGACTTTGGACAAGTTTTTTTTCTTTCCCAGTTACTGGGCCTCAGTTACCTAATGTGTAAAATACAGACAGCACTACACATGCCTCAACAGGGTTGAGGTAGAGATCAAGTAAGAAAACAGATATAAAGTGTCATCCTATAAACCATCATAGCTTATTATAGTCATACAAATGGATCTCTACCCAAGTGATGATGGCAAACTTTAGAAAGCATTTACATCTTATTGTGATATTCTTGGAGCCCTGCAAACTTCCACTCCCCATATGGAGTAGAAATTGAGTTCTAAGAATGAAGATGAAGGCAGATGTCTGAGGTCATGGAAGGGCAGGGATGTATGTTCAGATCAGAGCATTGATCGCTGCTCTTTCTCAGGCCTCTTCCTGAGGTAACTCTAAAGGGCAGTCCAGTGAGAAAGAAAGGAAACCATTCCAGGGGTGGAAAAGGTCACTGAGTTTCCCCCAGCCTCTAACATGGAAGCCCTTGGCTAGCATGGAACTGGGGCTGCTTGGGTCTTAGGGTTGGCCTGAGGGAGCAAAGCTGGGGTGCCCCTGCCCCCTTTGCACAGACAAGAAGATGGAAGCCCAAAGGGGTCAAGCGACTTTGCCCAAGGCCATAAGGTTAGTTGGCAGCAGGATCAGGGCGCCCTTTTCATTGCACCACAAGACTTCCTTGGCAGGGTGCAATGTGTCCAGCCACTGGCTTCTGTCTAAAGGAAGAAAGATTCAAGGAGACATGGATTCATTTCTGGAAAAGTGGATTGGATTGGTTCTGTGGGGCCCCCAAGGAGTAGCAGTACAGCTAAAGAGTTAGGAACTCAGTGGCACTAACGAGAAGCACTACGTCGGTGTTGTGGTGAGTCGATAGGACTATCCGTGGTGATACCTAGGAGGATACACTTTGCTTCTTTTATGAACGATACTTTAGGTCTGTGTTTATTCACATGCTAAGATGTTGAGTAAGAAAGTGAAGAGGCTACACTATTGTCAGGAATAGTAATAGCCTAAATTGTATGCAAAATTGTATACGCAGACTTCCAGTGATGCAAGGAGCTATCTGCGCAACAGTGAGCTCCTCATCACTGGAGGTGAGCAAGCCCCTGGTGGGGATGAGGCAGGGAGGACTCGGGCATCTGCCAGAGAAATGGCCCAGCACCCCGATGCCCATAATGCCCACTCTCCCCCTTCTCAATTATCTGGCTCCCGCTCACTGGGGGCCCCTGTTTTCCAAAGCAGCAAGCAGCCTGCGTGGTAATTACTTTTGGACTTATTAAGCCTAATTATCCCCTAATCGCATACAACCAGTAATTACTGTGGCTGTTACCAGGGGCCTACCCATGCAGTACCGCCCTTAGCACTGGCGTCCAACACCCAGCTGGGGCCTGAGGTGGAGCTGGTGCTCCCTTCCGTGGGTTTGGGGGCGGAGGTGTTGGCTGGGGTGGGGCTGCTGCATGTGAGATCCCCAACCTGGAGCCCCTTCAGCCTGGGTACTGGCTGGTGAAGGAATCGCTCACAAATGCCAGCCCTGGGGCTACCCCAAGCTCCAAGCAGGCAGGGTCCTTCCAAGTACTCCCTTCCCAGTGATGGTTGCCCAGGCTGCCCTGCCTGTGCCCAAGCCATTCCCTCCTTCCGGGCTCTCTTCCTCTCCTCCTTTCCCCCTTCCTTCCCTCCAGCCTCCTATCCACTTTCTTTTCTTCCTTCAAATATTTACTGAATCTCTTTTATGTTCCTGGCACTATTTCTAGTACTGGGGATACAACAGTGAAGGGAAAAAATGGCAAAAATCCGTGCTTTCATGGAGCTTACTGTCTACTTGGGAGAGACAGAGAATGAACGAAATCAGTAAATGATGCAGGGTATTAGAAACGGTTGAGTTCTATGAAGGAATAGAAAGCGGAATGTCAAGGAGGAGGTTTTCTTGGGCTGGAGGAGAAATTCAGTTTTAATAGGATGGCCAAATGCAGAATGGGGCATTTGAACAAAGACTTGAAAGGAGATAGGCTAAACTAGGATGACAGCTGGGGAATGTTCCAGGAAAAGGGGCCAGCCAGTGCCAAAACCTGAAGGTGCAAGCAGGTCTGGCACATTTGAGGAGCAGGGAGGGTGTCCTGGTGGCTGGAGCAGAGAAGCGAGGGGGAGAGAGGTGGGTGAGGAGGTCGGAGCTGCCAGGAAGGGGTGGAGGGCAGATAGTAGAGCCTGCTGGGGGAGTTTAAAAACTTTGGCTTTTCCTCTGAAGCAAACTTCTGAGCAGAGAGGTGAGCACTTTCTTTCTTTTGTTCTTTGAATCGGAGTCTCACTCTGTCGCCCAGGCTGGAGCACAGTGGTGGGATCTCAGCTCACTGCAACCTCCGCCTCCCGGGTTCAAGCAATTCTCCTGCCTTGGCCGGACGCAGTGGCTCACGCCTGTAATCCCAGGACTTTGGGAGGCTGAGGCGGTCAGATCACAAGGTCAGGAGATCGAGACCATCCTGGCTAACATGGTGAAACCTCGTCTCTACTAAAAATACAAAAAATTAGACGGGTGTTGTGGCACGCGCCTGTAGTCAGAGCTACTCGGGTGACTTGTACTTTTATAGCCTCCACTCTGTCCACAGGGATGGTGGAGGTTAAGGGGGGCAGGAGCCCAGGGAGGAGGAGCTGTAGCCGCAGTCCCAGTGAGAGAGGGTGGGGCTTGGGCTAAGCGGCAAC